AAGAGATTCCCCAAAGGCCCCACTGGAGCAGAGGCAGGGGCAGTGCCTGGGGCTGGACACTCGGCTGGGCACCAAACCAAGCGCCAACACGCTGCCCCCCTGTCCCCCCTGTCCCCCCAGGGCCAGCCCTACCTTCAGATCCCAGATCTTGATCTGAGAATCCATCGTCCCTGTTCCAAAAATGAGCCCGTCTGGGTGGAACTGGGCGCAGGTGAGAGCTGCAGAGACACCAAAGGACATTTGGAGGGTCAGGGAGACTTCCTGATTTTATTAACAAGCCCCCACCCTGAGTTCTCCTGAGCTCCAGGAGCCCAGAGACCCACAGGGAGAAAAATCCCTTCTCTCCAAGCTCCCAACAGCCCCGTGGGGTGGGGACACTCATCCCTCAGCCTTACCACAGCCAGAGCTCTCATCTGTCACCTTGGTGAGGACACGGCCTGTCTGGATATCCGAGAAAGCCCAGTACTGAAAGAGGAGGGAGAGTTGAGTACAGAGAGGTGAGGAGCAAGGTCTGTGGCCTGGGGAGGGGTCTGTGGCCCGGGGAGGGGTCTCACTTGGTCATCAGAAGAGCTGAGGAGGTAGTCACCTGTCGCATGGAGGCTCAGCCCTGTCACGGAGCCCTCGTGGGCACGGACGACCTGCACACAGGAGGCGTTGGGCACAGACCAGATCCGGATAGTGGCATCAGGAGAAGCTGAGAACACCAAGTCCTGGAGAGGGACAAAGCAGGAAAGTTAACATCAAAAAAAATCATCACCCCTTCATCTGAGAGAGCTCCCACCAGGAACTGGCCCATCAGTGGTCTGTGTGAGGTGGAGACCCCCCCACCACAACAGAAAAGAGCCCCAAAAACCCCAATCTGGGGCAGTTTGGCTGTGAGGGAAGTGGCCAAACGTGGGTCTGAGCACACCTGAGAGGGGTGGAAGACAACGCTGGTAACCTTCTTGGAATGTCCCTTGAGTGTTGCCAGGATCTGCTCCGAGCTCTTGTCAAAGACGATGACGTTTTTATCAGCCCCACCTGGAAAATGAAGCAGGAAGAGGTGAGAGATGTGAGTCTGTGGCCAACCAAGTCTGAGTCCACCCACCTTTCCTGGGGATCACTGTCTGGAGAAGCTTTGCTGTGAGCTGAGAGAATCCCTGGTGCCCCTCTTGCCCCAGCTCTACCCCCCAAAAACACAGAGAAAGCAGCAACAGGCTCCCAGCCCCACACCACCCAGTCCCCAGCAAGTGGAAGAAGCTCCCTTACCGGTGAGGATCTTGTTGGTGTCGGAAGGACAGAGGTCCAAGGCAAGGATCCCCGGGATGCTGGCGCTGTGCAGCCCCTGTGCGAGGCAGGATGACACCAGATTAATGCCACAAGCAAGAAAATGTCCCCAAAAGGATCTGAGAGGCCCTGGAGGGTGTTTCATTCCAACAGTGAAGGAACCTGTGCCACATCTACTCCAGCACAGGTCCCTGCTGGCGGTGGGACAGAGTCACAACCCTCTCCTTGCTCTCCCAGCAGAAGATCTGTCACTTATTGATGCTCCAAAGTGGCACATGAGTGGCCCAGATGCCCAAGGAGGAGGACATCCAGTTTTGAAGCCCCTGCCCACGTCATGGCACTCACCACGTGCGAGGCGACCTGCCGGTACTTGCTGAGCTCCTCCGGCTTCACCAGCTCCTCTGGGACCGTCTTGCCTCTCTGCAAAAGGGAAATGATGTGGAGATGAACATCAGCCTGTCCCAGAGCACGGAGCATCCTGGCTGTGGGGGTATCTCTGGAGTGACACGGGGCTGCTGACCTTCTTACGCTCCGTGGTCAGCACCGTAGCCTTGTCTTGAAGCTGGAAAATGAGAGAAGGGTGGTCACGGGCTGACCAGGACCTGCAGGACCTGACCAGGGCTCTGCTGGGGGGAGGATGGAGAACAGCCACCACCGAGGGCTGTGGCAGCACAAGGGGAAGGTCCTTTACCTTCTGGATGATCTCGGGGGTCATGCCTGCCAGCTCTCCCAGATCCATGGACTCCCCAGCACCCTGCGCAGGACAGAGAAGGGGGGATGGTTACACCCAGTGGGGGGGACACGAGTGGAGATCAGAGATGGAGGGGAAAGGTGCTGAGCTGGGCAGTGGGGACTCACGGCCACGTTTGGCTGAGAGGATGGCACCGTCTGGGGCACGATGAGGCCAGCCTGGGGCTTCAGAGTCGCCAGAGCTGCGGGGGCAAGAGAAAAGCTGCGAGTTTAAGGTGTGCTCGGGGGGTAAACGAGACAATCGCTGTCAAGACTACACACTGCTCGCT